TGCTTTATCTCCCTGCTCTGGACTCTTCCAGATGCCTCTGGCTATACTCTCCCTCATGTCTCCAATAAAAATTCTCTGCTCAGTCATACGATGGAGTGGTTATGACCTTCATATACTTGATTTCTGTCAAAAAAAAAAAAACCCTAAATTCTTTCAATAGTGCACACTTTCTTAAATCAGATTGCCTTGGGTTCTGTATGGTTAGATTGAAGGATTAAATTTGAATTCTGTAAATAACGGTTCTAAAAACCTAGCATAAATTCTTCACTTATTCAAATTAAAATACTGCTAATAAACAATTTTTCCCAAATCATTTGTGATTGGAAGTCTTTGATGTATGACTAATGTTAAATCACATGTAAAATGTATAGATGTAAACCAATAATGTATTGAAAGAAAGAAAAAATATGAAATGCTTATGTCTTAAGGAATAGCCAAAGGAACTAAAGAGTTGGAGTGAGATTTATTTATTGCATGGAAGGACAAAAGTGACTTGAGTAAGCTCTGGGAGGCAAATAAGGGAATAATTATGTTAATGACTACTTCATAAGGTCTTTAGAATTGGTGGAATAAAATTTAAACATTTTAAAGGCATCTCTTGAAATGTGACACATCATCTTGAACATGAAAATTCTTACCTTAAAAATCTCTTTGGGAGCTCATTGTCTAAGAGAAAACATACCTTTGCCATTGATGGGCTAAACTACGCTTTCAAAATCATTTTCTAGAAGTGCTTAATTGCTGCTGTCTTTCTGCCTTTCACAGTAACTCTTAAATACTATGGAAAGTTTTACTTAACATGTAGAAGTTCTTTGTGGGGGGAGGTCTTGATTCAGAAAAGCCACCTTACCTATTATGCAGCTAGTTTTCTTATGTAATAAATAATATGATAATATCTATAGTCCTCTCTTACTAGCCTGTTAATGGAATCAGATTGAGCCCAGGGTACCTTAGCTCATTTGATGATCAGTGTTTTAAATAGGGCTTTTAATTGCACACACCATCAGTAAATATGTTAGTTCTGTTATTCATTAGAATACAGAGATAACTCTAGTAGTTGGCTATCCAAATAAGAACAACTTGCTGAAATTGTCTCTGCAGTAGAATTTTCAGGCCTTGTTTAAGTAAAACTTAGAGGTTACCAACATCAGTTTTGCTGAAAGACGAGATGAAAGAAATGACAAGTATGAAGCTTGTGGAACAGTATTTCATAAGCCACACAAGGGCTCTTTATTTCTAATAGAGATGGCTAAAATTTACAAAACTATGAGAATCTGACAGTATGTATCTAATCTGATCCTTTAGGAAAGTGTAGCAGAGTAAAATAACATTCACAGATGTTCTTTCTAAAAGGAATTCCAGTTTTCTCTACCACCTCAAGATTAAGGGTTTTTAAAGTATAAATATATTTAAGTAAGCTGGGTTTTTCATTTCACCGTGATTGACTTTGTGGTTTCTCTATTAAGACAGCTTCAAACTCTTGAGTCAAGCTTGCTTGGGTTAATAAGCTTTTTCATAGCAATGAAACCAGAAATTCTTTTTACCTCACAAAGAAACAGTTTTGCAGCAGTAAGGTGTGACTCCTTAACACTCGCTATGTTCTTTATACCTCCCGTACTGAATTTTAACTGCTTGCCCAACCCCAGAGTACCAAGACTAGATATTACCAGCCTCAATCCGTAGTACTCATGTTGCCTTGAATTTGGAAATTGTCTCGTTTATGGATTCTGCTTTTGTTTTGTGAGCAGAGTTCCTTCATTAATTATTTTAGCACTTATCCCAACTGGAAACATCTTTCATCTCAGTGAATTCCTTGGTTTCACTCTATATTGAGTGGGACACTAACTGGAATATGTAGGTATGGGTCTTTCATAATGGGAGACAGACAATACAGTTTTCATAAAATGGTGTAGGTTATTCGTGCCACAAGAAAGTCAGTATTCTTGTGTAAGAACAAAAAACATTTTCATGTAGGGACCAATCAACTCTTCTTCATTGAGTTAATTTGCTTATTTTGTTTTCAAAATATTTTTATTTATGTGCATGCCTGTGTGTATATATCAGTACCCACAGAGGCAAGAGGATGGTGTTGAATCCCCTAGGATTGAAGCCAAATGTAGTTGTGAGCCATCTCTCGAGCTTATTTATGAAAACACAAATAATATACCACTATACTCAATGGTATATAAAGTGAATTGGAGTTATTCCTGTAAAAGTTTTCTAAAAGGTGCTACTAGAACTTAATTTTATCTACAAAGAGTCCTTACATAGTGAAAAAACAGGATCTAATTTGAGACTAAAAAGTCTTAAGCAGAAGAAAACTTTATGACAAACTTGAGAATTAGTTTGCTCGTGTCTGACTTTTCTTCTATACTGCTTGCATCTAACAAACTTCAACTTTGCTTTGTGCTTGTGCTGATTCTAATAACAGGAACAGTTACATTATTAGAAGTATCGATCACTAGAAATTTTGCTAGTGTTAAAAAGATTTGTTAAAAACAAAGTTTAGTAATATAAAAGTTACCATATGGAAAGTTTCAGAAAGAAATTTATTACCTTCCTTTAGCCAAAATACCATTGGACACAGCAGTGTGGATACTAAGCTTTGTTTTTGAATTGTTCACGCTTACTGTGTTTTTTTTTTAACCCATTCTTCCCCAAACTAAAGCAGTACACTATAATAAGTTGCCATTTTTACAAAACTGAATGGATAGATAATACTAAAGCAAGCAAAGTAAAACACTCATTAGTGTATTCTTCCTTTTGGTAAACTATTACTATCAGTCACTAACTTAATAAATTACTAAAAGTTGAGGTTTTTTTTTTTTTGTTTCCCACAACCTAGAATTCAGAAACAACTCTTAGAAATGTCAACATTTTTACCAAGTTTTTTTTTTTTTTCGTTTTTTGAGACTGTTTTTCTGTGTAGCATTAGTTGTCCTGGAACTCACTCTGTAGACCAGGAAGGGTGTGGTACAGTAAAACCTCTGCCATTATGAAACAATAGATCTCACTATGCCACCAGAGTGGCCACAATCCCTGGCGTACACATGCAATCTTTCAGGTATGACTTCTTCCTTGTCAATACTTACTTATTTTTGTTTTGGTTTAACCTTTCTCCTCCTCACCATGTGCACCATGATGTTTCAAAAATAAGGCTGGTGCCATGAATATGAAAGCTGCAATTTGCAAGGTATGGCATCTAGAACTTAGGATGCCAGTCAGAATGGGTGCAGTTCTAATTAAATGATCAGGTAACGTCACAACATGGCAGGGTGCAACATCAAAACTGTACATTGTTTTTTTTCTCTTGATGGATCAGAGGTTCCACATTGCCTCCAGTCTCTTCGTTGTGTTTTCTGTTGAGCCCCATCAGAACTCCCCCATCCTCCATGTTGAAGGCTTGCACCACCTTGGGGTTGTCTTTCTGGCACTAAAGGTTCGCCATAGCTTCCATGTGATGATCTTTAACATAGAACTTTTTGTTTTATTTTGAAGATGATTTCTCTGTGTAGCCTTGGCTGTCCTGAAACTCGCTCTATAGATCAACCAGACTAACCTCAGACTTAGAGCTCTGCCTGCCTATGCCTCTTGAGTGTTAGAATTGAAGGTATGTGCCACCACTGACTTAAGTGTTTCGTGGCAGGACCTCTCAATGAGCTGCAGGGTTTTGCAGCTAAAGCTGAGTCAGGAAGCCTCTCTTAGATGAGGCGCTTGCTTGCCTCTAGCAAGCAGAATAGACCCGAGAAATTGCTGCTACCACGTCAGGCGCCATTTTGTTGTTATAGGAACAGCGGGGCTGTGTCCCCAGCACCCCGGCTGCCTGCTAGCTTATGCCCCAAAATAACAACACACAAACTGTATTCTTTTAAACACTGCTTGGCCCATTAGCTCTAGCCCTTACAGGCTAATTCTCATATCCCGATCAACCCATCTCTAATAATCTGTGTAACATCAGTCTTACCAGGAAAGATTCTAGCCTATGTCCATCCTGGGTCTGAGCTTCATGCGTCTGCCTCAGAGAGCAGAGCTATAGCATCTGCCCGGGAGAGGGGAGCATGGTGTCTCTGAGCTCACTTCCTCTTCCTCCCAGCATTCTGTTCTGTTTACTCCACCCAACTATGTTCTAACGTATCAGGGCAAGCAGTTTCTTTATTTAATTAACCAATGACCTTCCTCCATCAACAGAAGGCCTAACTAATACAAATATTTTTTTTAAAAAAATGTTCTTGAATGAATTGCAAACTTTGAAGTATTTCCATACAACAGATTTTGACTCAACTATAAGCAAACACTAGAAGTTTTGATGAAGTTATTTCTTTTTTAGGTGTTATCCTATTGCTTAAAAATAACATATAAAATGAGAGAAACTAAGTCATTAGGTATGTTTTAAATGTTATTCTAAAACTTCACCAAATTTAGATACTGTATGATTTATAAGTTTAGCACAATACTGTATATATAGTACCATTAGAAACTTCTCAAACATCTTATATTTAAGTAAGGGAGACATGGTTTTATGATATACAAGTCTAAGCAGAATGATCAGCTGCTGGGGAGTACAGGTTAGTCATAGAGGTTTCAGTCACTGACACTGCAGGTAAACAAGGGGAAGGGAGAAAACAAGGCCTCAGAGAAGAGATTGGTTTGAAAGCAAGTGACCCATGATCATTATCATTATTAAAAGTTACTGAGTGCCTACCACATGCCAAGGCAACATAGTAAGAACTTTGTTCCCTTTAACCAACACTCTCATATCTATGAGGGGATACTCTTTTTCTCCCTAGTTAATAAAGTTGAAACGCAGAAATGCCTCACTTAAGCCACATAGCTAATAACTGACTAGACTAGACTCAGACACAGTCCAGAGCCCATTTTTAAAAGCTATGGGATTTCATGGAAGGAGCAAGTGCTAAACCCTCTGTGCAGTGTTGTTTTGAGAGAGTCTGCAGGGTAGCTTTAAGCTTGATGGGCTGGGTTGCCCAGGGCAAAAAGGCAGGTAGAAGAGCATCCAAAGTCAGACTAAGTCCAAATCTGACAGCACACATGCTCCAGGTATGGAATTTCCAAACAAGAAGAGCATGTTCCCTTTACTGTCTTTTTACAGTGTTACTTCTGGGATGGCGGTGGTATGGTGGTATTTTCTGGTTTTGGTGTTTTATTCTCCCCAAGGACTTGAGGGCGTTTTATCCTTTCAAAGACATAGCATTCACTTTTGTCTCCAGAGGCTGGTGTTCTAGTGCTGACCAGATGAAAGCCTTCCTTTAATAAAGTATCGATCAGCAAGCCGAAGACATTTGTTCCATTTGCCAATTTTCGGTTATCAGGCTTTATGGAAATGTACCTGGGACATACAAAGAAGTGTTTGATTACAAAGCATTCCATTAATAACTAATAAAACTACACATATAAACTTACTTACAACCTCAGATAAAGGCATCATACCTTTCTCTTTTTTTGTTCTTTTGAGACAGGGTTTGTGTAGCCCATGATGGATGGCCTTGATGAAAAAAAAGAAAAAGGAAAGGAACATGACTGCTCCTACATACAATGGAAGAGAAAGTTTATAGATAAAAGGGAGAGCACAGCCAGAGGCAGGGACATCTGGGAGAGTTCAGTGGACATGACCCTGAGTCATGTGAGGATGGGGGAGGGGCATAGAGACTAGGGAGAGTGGGGCTAGAGGAACCAGGTGCAGCAGCCAGGAGGCCCAAGAGAGTAAACAAAAAGGACCAGGTAACCAAAATGGATAGATTAAATAGGGAAGGGCAGTCCAACCCCTGGGCTGGATAAGTTTAGGGTAGGGGGCAGGGTATGCCAGCCAGGAGAACCCTGTAACACGAAGGAATAAGGGATGCTGGAAGAACTTGGATGCCAGCATCTGCTTTGTTAAACGGGTACCTAAACCATGTTTCCCAAGTCTGAAACTCAAACTCATGATCCTCTGCCTCAGACAAAATGTTAGGATTACAGGTTACAGGTGTGCACTCGGGCTTGGCAACATAATTATTTTTATGAGACATAATCTTACTTTTTATCCCTTGCTGTCCTGGAACTCATTATGTAGACCAGGCTGGTCTCAAACTGACCCATAACATTTAACAGATTGTCTTTTTGAGATTTCATTTTCAAATTTGAATCAATAACTAAATATATTAGAGACTTGATTCCAAATCATCTCAGTTACATTTGTGAATATAATTAATATCGTTGCCTTATGTTATTTTCTGCAGCAATTTTGTCAAAGAACTGCCCTAATTTTTGAAAGTGTGTAACTTATTTCCAGGATTTTTTTTCAGTTTGCTTTTACCCAATTTGACTAAATGATTGTTAAATTGTTTTTATTAATACTGTGCTTTCACAATTTTCTACTGAACCTAATTATTAGTACTGCCATTATAACTCGTGATTTATTCATCAAACCAGCCTTTTCAGGTTAAAATTTGAAGATATAAAATGTTAAGACTCCATTTTATTGCTACCTTTTCATCAACAATTGCCTATTATTGGAAAGCAAAACATGGTAGTCAAAAACCAGATTGAAACTGAAAAGGCTCACAACTTTAATCTCAGCACTCAGGAGGCAGAGCCAGGTGGATCTCTCTGAGTTCAAGGCCAATCTGGTCTGCAGAGTGGAGAACAGTCAAGGCTACACAAAGAATCCATCTCTAAGTACACAAAGCCAGCACATGGCTCCAGAAAATCCTGCCCATGTTTGCTCTAGTAATAGCAATATAATATGGAGGATATCTGCCATCAAGGATGTTTTTTTGTCTTCCCGCTGTTTGTTCTGAAAATGTGAAAAACGGCTTAGGTTAGTTCCCAGCAGATACCAAAGCTATAAGTAGTTTCATGAGTGTAAAACAATGTTTGAGCATATCCCTAGTTATTACTAACTGAGGTTATGTTCAGGAACTCACTAGTGGCAAAGAAAAAAACTAACAGTTAAGGATTATCAATCTACAAAGCACATCTCAAAAAAAAAGTTTATTGTGTTTGATGCAAGATTTTAACAGTAGTAAAGCACTTCATCTATTCCAAAGTCTGGATCTAAATTATACAGTCTAGAAACAGTTGTCAGAAAGTTACAGAATATCACAAGACTATTAAGATACAAATAGGAAGTAATAGGTGTTTAAAAAAAAAAGGCAGAATGTACTTTGACGAACCATTGAGCCAAAACTATGTTAATTGATTCCCTGTGAAGCCAAACTGAAAAGGGATTTCAAGACACAAGAAAGGGATGAACTAACAGAAAACCTGCACTTCTCTCTAGTTGCAGAACCCAGGGCTTCCAGTGCATGATAGGCAAGGACTCCTTCACTAAGTTCCATCACACCTTATTTTTAAAAAGTTGCAGTCAACTATACTTTTCCATCTAGTTTAATATAAAACAGAGATATGAGAAAATGACAACAAAAGATACTCTAGAATTCTGAGACCATGACTTGAACTAAGTAGTATGTTGTTACATGACGGGCAACTAAAGATGCAAGCCAGGGACCAGAGAGAATAACCACGTAACTGAGCCTGCTAAGAACATACTGAAGATGCTTATAAGCCAGCCAGGCTTATTCTACCATATCCACCATCCACAAACATCTGAATAGATACTCAGACCAGAGACTAGCAAAAATTACAGATAACTGCCAACATCTACTCAAAAATGGTTCTGACCAGAGCTGTCACCCAATCACCACTTATTTCCATGTCACTTTAAATAGATAATATATCACTATTCTGAAACTGGCACTATGTAAATTAAGAATTCCAAACTGAAAACAACCAAAAGTACCGCCACATAGTAACTGGGTGAGGAAACATATGTCTATAATCTTAGCACTCAGGAGGCAGATACAAATGAATCAGAAGTTCCAGGCTAGCCAGGGACACATGAGACCCTTTAGAAAATAGTAACTAAAGAAATAGCTCTGGTTTTAGAATTATCTGTTATGATTTGCAAAGAAAACATTCTGTGCTGTTTCTGAAACGTAACAAAAGGGGGGGTCACTTGATAATGTATATAAAAGAATGATCCAATTTCAGTTGCTAACCTTGTTTTATAAGATAATTTGTTCCTCCAAATTTTAAAAGAACATTTAGTATTTCCAAGATTTCTCTTCACCTACTGTGTGTCTTCCTAAAACTGAGGTTGCCATTTGTCCTTAAGTTTCTAACTTTCTGAAAAGGGATGCTAAAAAGGTCATTTCCATTTAATTAAAATTTAAGCTGGGCGATGGTAGCGCACGCCTTTAATCCCAGCAATTGGGAGGCAGAGGCAGGTGGATCTCTGGTAGTTCAAGGCCAGCCTGGTGTACAAGAGCTAGTTCCAGGACAGGCCCCAAAGCTACAGAGAAACCCTGTCTCAAAAAAAAAAAAAATTTAAACAAAAAATTCCATTATTTCTCTTATTTAAGTACTTCCCCCAATGAAAACGAAGAGCAGAGTGTAAAGCAGTTTGGCAACAACAGGACCTTAGATGTTCTTTGTGGTTTATTTGATTGGTACCCATTTCTAAGATGACATTTCAGCTTCTTTGGAAGACCAGGAAATAGAAAGTATATAGATTTATTGTCATTCTAAGTTATACTGCTCATGGTTTACCAGTTGGTAGCTGAGACTAAGAGGTGTGCTGTGGGAGAAATACCAACCACTGGCCTCCTTCCTGACCACTACTGTAAAGACTAAACACTCTAAAATATGTCTGTCTCTTAAGAGTACCTGCTTTTGAATGATGAAAGTACAGAACACAAAAAGTTTTTTGTTTCCTCCTAAACGTTAAAACCAGCTTTTACAGTTGGTAATAATCATACACAGCATTAAGGCTTTTTTTTTTTTTTTTTTTTTTTGAGACAGGGTTTCTCTGTGGCTTTGAAGCCTGTTGTATATCAGACTGGCCTTGAACTCACAGAGATCCACCTGCCTGTCCCTCCAGAGTGCTGGGGAATGAAGGCATGCACTACCATCACCTGGCCTGCATTAAGACATTTTTTAGCAGAGGATGAGGTAGTGTATCCCTGACTATAGAGCAGAAATCAGCCTTAAGATCAGCCAAGAGCAGGAGAGGCAGGTGCAGTGGTGGTGCTCACTTTCAGTCTAGCACAAGAGAGGCAGAGGCAGAGTTCCAGGCCAGCCAGAGCTACATAATATGACCATGTCTCAAGACAGAACAAAAAAGAAATCTAAAATAAAGAGGCAGTCATCCTTTCTAAGTTCTAGACAGACAAAAGCATAGTGTGTAAAGGAATCAGGTCAAAGCACAGAACATCTATGTGCAAGCCAGAAACAAGCTGATTCAGTCTAAGCCATTCACTAGCAATGGAATATAATCTACAGAATCAGTTCCTCTTATAACTACACTGAAAACAGTTTCTATTTCCCTGGGCAGTCTTGGTTTATTACCTGTCCCACAATACCTTCTTAGTCTGAAAGGACCCAAGTTTAGAAAATACCTACTTGTTCTAGCTGAACAAAACATTAGTCTGAATAAACTTTTTTTTTTTTTTTTTTTTGGCCAGAAAGAGTATTAAGCATAAAGAACTTTCAGTTTTGAGAGAAAATGTCAGAAAACTGGAATAAAAGAGACACTTCAGTATTCAAAATACCTGACTCCAGCATGGTTCTCAATAGTGCCATCAGAGCCACAGTGGAAAACCAGGTCATGGTGAGAAGGTCTTTGTGGAGGCAGTGGAAGTAAAGTCACCTGAGGAGGGAAGGGGTTACCGCTCCGGGCCAGTCCTGTAGGTTGCTCTACAAACACTGTAATCCTTCTAGCTAGCAGCTCGATGGTTTTGTTGCAAGAGCCAAACACTCTGAAAAAGGCTTGAGTATTTCTGTTTAGGAAATGCACCTCCATGAGAGCAGGTCTTGATTGTAGCAGGTGCTGGCTTAAGAGCTCAACAAGAGAATCGAGTTCATAGAAAAGCGCCTCTCTCTGAAGCCTAAGGTAGTCTGAAAAGTCAGACGGTAATAGAAGCTCACGATTCCTCAGAAAATCTAAAATGAAACTAAACAAAGCACCATCTCTATCCACAAAAATCTGGCCATTAACAGTCTTGAACTCTGGGTCTCTACCATCTACCATGCCTGCCAACCGAGAGGTAGGGAACTGCTTTAGGGTAGAGAGCCTTGTTGTGAAGATCTTCCCTCCCACGTTCAGAGTGACCAGGTCCTCACTACTCATTCTTCCTGGCTTCTCATTAGAGGCTACAAACCATTAACTCAACCCGCTACCATAAATGTTATATATGATTAAGAAACAGGGAAGTGGAGATAGAAACTCAACCTAAATTCCAAGGTTACTATTGTCAAGACAAATAGTGGATCCATAGCTGTGTTTGCAAATGTGAGTTGCTTGGGAACTTGCAGTGTATAAAACAGAAACAGCAAGTGAAACAGAATGTCAATATACCTCATGATTTCAAATAGATCCCTGTCCTGTAATCCACTAGATACAAAACAAAGTCTTGCAATAGGAGTGTGGTTTAGGGGTAGAGCCCTTGCTTCATGTGTGAGGCCTTGAGTTCCGTCTCTAGCACTGAAGAAATCAGTCTCCATGAAACCCTAACATAAATCTGTATTTCAAGCAAAATCACTAGGAAAAGAAAACCACTCTCTCCGCAGACATTTACCAAGCCCTCGTGGCTGAGGAAAGGCTTATAAAAAAAAAAAAAAAAACCCGTGAGTTAGGCTAAGAATAAACAGCCTTTACCTCACCTTCAACTTGACCGTCTCATGGCTAGTAGCTGAGGATGATACTCTGCTTTATTTTTTAATTTTTATTTTATGGGCAGTGGTGTTTTGCCTACATGTTTGTCTATGTGAGTGGCTGATTGAGTTATAGGCAAGTATGAGCTGCCATGTGGATGAATTGAACACAGCTCCTCTGGAAGAACAGCCAGTGTTCTTAACCACTAAGCCATCTCCCCAGCCCTTCCTCCCTCCAAAAACAGTTTCTCTGTGTAACAGCCCTGGCTGTTGTGTTGCCAGCTTTTCTCATCCCTGGTCACTTTAGTTCTTCTCAACCAAATCAAGGGATGAGGTAACTGCTCTCTAAAACCCAACTTAATGGGCTTCCTAAGGCCCATTTTCCCATGACAGAAACAAGGGGACTAAAACAGTCTTAAGATTTGTTTTCTTTGAATTCTAAGCAAGGTGAGAAAATTGCGTAATTCTGTCCTGTGGCCATCTTTCTCTCTAATGAGCAGAGAGGTCAAGTCTTTACCTGATGGCTTTATCCTTTAGTGTCACAGCAATTGTGGAAGGAACCCAGTCCACTTGCCTACAGCCTACAGATGTAGGAAGCCGAGTCTGACGACAGGCAGGTGGACTGGGTTGGCTGTACAGTTGCTATGCACTTGACAGCACAACCACAGCATTGGGTACCAGTTAAAGATGGCTTTCCCAACTGCTGCCCTGCCTGTATGCACAGCTTCCTAAGAGCTGTGTCACCTCAGTGAAGAGTTCCCAAAGATCACTGTAATGCCAGTACTTGGGAGATTTGAGGTAGGACTACCAGGTCAGGCCTGGCAAAAAGAAGAGGGCGGAGAGATTGGGTTTCCAAACTTACAATATTTACGGTGTCATGAGAAAGACTCCTCTAAAGCAAACTTGGGAACCCATACATTCCTGGTCTTCACTTTGGAATGTGACAGTCTGCTCCATGACTCGGTACCAATGACATGTTAGCTCGTGTGCGCTATGTCATGGATAGCATGTTAAAACTCTTGCTTACTTCTTGCCCAGGCTGGTCTCAAAGTCCCAGGCTCAAGAGATACGAGGTACAGATACAGTCATGTGCCGTTTATCACAGGACAAATTCAGCCAATATGAGAGGGAAAGCACTTATTTTAGAACTCTGTTCAAAGGAAGGGGAGGGTGGGACTACTAAACTTCACTTTTAGTTTTATGCTGATGTTTGAATAACATATAAAAGACATTATCAAAGGAATACTTTTAAAAGAAACAACGGGCTGGAATCTTGCCCAAATCTGTTTTATTCCTGTGTTCTCTAACACTCCCACCAAGAAACAGAGCTGTGTAGTTGATTTACAGCAATTTGTATCTGCACACAAATTCTGCCACAGTGTTCAGTGCCACCAAACCAAAACTTCTGACTCTTTCACTAAAAATGAAAAACCCATCCGTCATCTGTTCCCAGAAAAAAACAGACTGTTGTACAAAGTCAGCTGACTTAGTCAGGTAAGAGCTGACACTTGAAAGGTAGTCTTTGCAAGCTGCTAACTCATCGAATGGAGACCACTCCAGGAATACGGTCGGACCAAAGAATACGAGGAGACCCAGCAGAACCACCACCATGAACAGCTGGTAGGAGCGCCTGGGAATCTTGCTAACGAACACGCCGGTGTCTTGAGGCAAAGAGAGCTTATCTACGTCGACTAGTTTAATGTTCTCCCACTGGCTGGTATCAAAATTCTTCATTAAAGGGCTTGTGGGCAAATTGGAGGGTGGCAAAGGCGTTTCCTTGATTACTTTGATTTTCTCCCTGAACTCCTGCATCTGTTGCAAAAATATAATAGGTTCTGACACATCCTTGAAAGCCTCGGCGATGTTAAAGGCCATCCGCTGCTCCTGCAAAATAGTGCTGAGTTTGTTGATCTCTGGATCATAGGCTTGCATAACTGCAAGCTTCATAGTCTCAAAGTCAGACAGGATTTCATTCTTCTTTTGATCCAATGTATGTTGTAACTTCTCAAAAAACTCCTTTACTTTATCAGAATCTTTAGTGAGTAACTGTAAGGATTTCCTTTTGTTTGTTTCCAAAGTATCCAAGCGGGAAAGAGCATCTCCCCGGCGCCAAGTCTCAAAACTCTGAAAGAGGGACTCAAAGGCATTCCTTTCTTGAGCATAGGCATCTTCAATAGAAGAGAAGACATGCTTAGTGTGGTCGCCACAGGTAGCACAGATCCCACAAATGAGCTGCATATCAGTTACACAGAAAATGTTGAGAGGCTGTCCCAAGTGTCCTTTGCACACTGGCATTTTGGGAGAAATCTTGATTTTGTTGTATTTCTCCACAATACCCTTGAGGGAGTAATTAACCTGCAGACTGTTGACGCCGGTTGCTGAAGTCTCCTTCCGGCAGGTAGGACACTTGAACGGAGATGGTCTCCACAGTGAATTCCGCACGTTCCCCTCTAGAAGCCCTTCTAAACATTTCTTGCAGAAGTTGTGTGAGCAGGGCAAAACTCGGGGATCATCAAACAAACTGCAGCAAATGGGGCACGTGAGATCTTCTTCAAGCAGCTCCATCACATCCTGCCACAGAGAAAGAAACATTTAGCTCTGGAAAGCCCCTCTAAAGTAGTTACAAGACACTATCTTCCCAATAGAATGATCTGCTGACATAATCAAAGGATTTAAGAAATTTGGGGAAGGCATGCATACTAAAGCATATTGAACTCACTGGGACAAGAGCACACTCCTGTACACAAGGCCTTTGTGAGAGCTTCCCAACAACAGCCTTAGCTAAGACAGGGTTAGGACTGGGACAACTGCACACTGAGCCAACAGGACCCAGCATTGTTTTAAAACAGAGCTGACTACTAGATGCCAGAAACAGAGTCTCAGTGTCTGCAACAGAATGGGCTCTTTAGGCTGGGCCCACAAGTATAAAATGGTATGCTACTTAAAGACAGAAGCACACAATAGAAATCCAAGCATGTACTCTATTCCAGCTTTTACTGGAAACTGGCATATTTTCTATTTCAAAGAACAGATGACAGTCATTTAAGAGAACCACAGTTTAAAAAGCACAAAAGAACTGAACTGAACCTTGCCTAGGGAATTGAATGAGGTGGATTTCTGCTATTGGTTGGGTGGGTTTTTTTTAAAATTATTATTCATTGTTTTTAAACAAATTCATCCTATATCCTTTACACTACAGTAGTAGTTCTCTCTATGACGAGCAGAAACCTAAGTGTCCCTCTTTCACCAAAAGCATTTCCAGACTGATGTGCCCTGCTGACTGATGTTTGCACCGACTTTGTCAAAGCCAAAGCCTGCTGAGCTGTAACAGGAATAGAGCCAGACTGTAAGAGGCACTGAAGGGCATCCCCACTCACTGTCCTTCAGGGGCACAGAGGAGAGGGGAGGAGCCACTGTCAGGGAGAAGGCTCCTTGCCAGGCTGATTCAAGCACACACCTAGAATCCGAGTACTCAGAAGGACAAAGAAGGAAGGATATGAGTTCAAGGCAACAGGGCTACAAAGCAAGTTCCACCCTAGACTGGACTATGAGATGCGACTTCAAAAACAAACAAATAATAAAATCTTGACGATTCAGCAAAAATTACTCATTTTTGTCAAATCCCGATTCTTGTCTACGGCTTTTAAACATGTACGACAAATAAGAGCTGTACACAAAAGCACGGCCAAGCTACAAGAGAGGCCAGCTGCTTTTATTAGTAAGCTAGCACTATGCAGATTAGGTAGCTGACGAACATCTTGAGAAGGAGTTGCTACTTCCAGAACACAGTACTTCAACAATGGAAACGCTTGGTTTTTACATTAAAATTCATATTTTTGCAAAGTATATCTATTTCTTGTAAGCATCCCATTAAAGATTCTGATAAATGGTGAACTTAATAAATATGAAGGCTAACTATAAAATAAGTCAATACTGCAGGTCTATGAAACAGTGATCTATTTCAAGTCAATATTATAAATCATTCACAGAGAGAAGACTCTTAAAATATTAGAAAGGACTGGAGTGTAGCTCAGTGGTAGAACACTTGCTAAGGCCCAGAGGTCAATTCCTAACACTGCAGAAATAAATCTAAAAAGGAACACAAATAGGCTCACAATAAATATGACCCCATGCACTACAGTATGGCAAGGAATGGTGCTATTTGTTGAGGCTCAGCACACTACTGAAGAAGAGCAACAAGCTACTAAAATACTACTCGATTTATCAACCACAAATTTGTGTGATGCAAATTTTCCCTTGTATATGCTCATCAAAATAATCAGAACAGTTGTTTTCAATAAAATAAGCATCCAGGGCTGGGGCTATAGCACAAAGGTTGGTAGAAAGCTCACTTGACATGTTCAAGGCCCTAGGCTAATCATGGGTGGAGACCCCTGAGACTCCCCAAAGGCAGAAAGCTACAGACCTATAAAGAATGTCTCATCACAATGTGGGGAGGTATTTTTACTAAATTGTTTGGTGACATACAATGATTTTATCGGTGCTATTTTGAATGAGTTAACGTGTTTTAAAGGCCTCAGTTCACTTCTAATATAGTCAGTAACTAGACTCTGTACATCATAAACCTTGGAATCCTCAGTCTTTAAGTATGTGGAGGTCAAAAACACTATTTCTCAATGCAAATCTGTTACGAGCCTTCATCCCTAAAGACCTAAAACCAAAATCAGCAATCAGTACTTCTTAACCCAAATTTACTTAGGGATACATAAAAACTACCGAAATAACAAAATAGGATAGAACACTCTCTACTGTACTGGTCATCAGATAATTTGGGGGTCGGAGTTGGGGTTAAAGCCTTCAGTGCACGTGCTGACCAGAGTCTCCCACTGAGCTACACGCATGCCCAGCCACAGTAATTCTATCCATGGGTGTGTGTGCAGGTACACATGCACGTGCCTGTCACAGGCCAATGTTGTGGGGTATGTGTACACTGTGAAGATATACTGCGGATATATCTTTAATAAAGAGCTAAAGAGGGAATAGCTAGACAGGAGGTATAGGCAGGACTTCTGGCCAGAAAGAGGGGAAGCTGGAGATGAATCTAGGCACTCAAGAGACACATGGCTTTTTGTTTTTGTTTATCGGTGGGTTCTGTGAATTGAACTCAGTCCTTTATTCTATAAGCCAAGTAGTTTACTAACTTAGTTACTTTCCATGATGCTTTCCGTTTTGAAATTCCTAAATCCCAAACAAGGATGCCTTAAGACAAGATGGAAATCCCCAAGATGCGGGAGGCCTAGATTCTGGCTAAGTGGAAGAGCACCTGCTTAGCACGCTTGAAGCCCCAAGTCCAATGTCCAGCACTGAAAAACAAACCCCAAAGACACAAAGCATAATATAGCAGCTTTTATTTTTGTTCCCAGTTTTACTCTCTTTTTTTACAACTACTGTTTATTCTGTGTGCACACATGGGGGGATCACAACTTACGGGGGTCAGTTCTACCACCACACAGGCTCCGGGGATGGAGTTTACGGGGGTCAGTTCTCCTACCACATGGGCTCCGGGGATGGAATTTAGGTTGCCACACTGGGCTGCAAGTGCTTCCACCCATTGAGCCACCTCACAGGCTCCCAGAATAGATTTTTTAAGGGGAAGATTAACTTGTACGTAAGAATGAATGCGAAGCTGAACAGGGTGGGGTAAGTCTGTATCCTAGCACCTGGGAAGCTAAGGCAAGAAGATCACGAGTTTTAGGATAGAATGAATGCATGAGTAGCCTTTACAGTATGCTTATGACTTTGAATGACTACTGTAAATTTCACATTTCCCTTCTCATCTTATTTGACTGCCTTAAAATTTCCGGTTCCCTGTTACTGTGTTCTCCATTTTCCCACAAGTTTTTCTTTGCCTCTGGTTCCCTCTCTCTTCTTTCATTCTGACCACCTTTGTTCTTGTTATTTAACACTAGAGTATGATGTAATTCTGTTGCCATTTATACTTACAAATATACATTTTCCCTTTCAGTGTCTGTTCTTCAAACACGATAGTCCACCTTATAGATATGCTTTCTAATTGCTTACCTGTCATTCCGTTTGCTTTTAGAATGGTACTATTTAAAAGCCTTATAGAAAAGTTTTAATTAAAACCTCTTAATTTCTGATCATTTCCTTAGATAGTTCCCTTAGAGCAATACCGGATCA